AACTTTCATCAGCCCTGTCCAACTGTGCTTTCAACTTGTTTTCACTTCTAGAAGTTATATTTGGTTTTCAAATCTGCTCAGCCAGTTTTTAGTGTCCCACTATCCTATTTTCAAGCATGTCTTTTATTTTTAAAAAGTGCTCATTTGCATTTTACAATCTATGTTTGGTAACTCCAGAATCTTTCTTTTTGGGAGCGGACCGTTTTTGCTTTTAAGGGTTGTCACCAGTGGTGTGGCTTCCTCGTGTGCTTATTATTGACTGGGTGCTGCTCATAGTCCTTGAAATTATGGATATGCTTTCATCATGACCAGGGACAAGGAGTGCTTTTTTTCCAGAAAAGAATGATCTTTGCTTCTACCATGTACTTGGGATCCTGTGTGCCTGGAACCACTTTAGTTCATGATCTTAGGGCCCCCTCTCCACTCTAGAAATGCAAAGTTGGGGTTTAATTCTGCTCAGGGGTATTTGGCCTCAGGGATCCGCTCTCTTTTTTACTTCTGTGTTCTGCTTGGCACCGAGAAAACTTTGTCTAGTCCCATGGAAAGGGAAGAAAGAATCCAAATTTACTACTGGGGCCCCAACTTAACAGGAAGGATTCTATCTGACTTCTCAATTTAAATGGGGGCTGGCCACCTCCACCTGTCTTACTCACTTCTAGGTCCTACGTGGCTTGGAGCGCTCTCTTAACTTTCCAGGTTCTTAGCATGTCCTGGATTTGGGCCCGCTCATTCCTCATTATTATATTTACTCTCAGATGTTAAGATTTTTAGAATATTTTTCCAGCATTTTAATTGTAGTCATTGGGAGCACTGGCCCTAAAACCTAGCCCACTGCAGGTAGCAGAAATAAAAATCTTCACTTTGCTTTGATGTTCTTCCTATCACTACATTTAGAGGCAGGTTTTAATCCAAATTTGGATGCATTGGGATCCATGGAGCTATGGATTCACATTTATCAACTCTGGGAATGTTCCAATTATTTTAAAAGTATTCCCTTTTCTCTTTCATTTACTGAATATAATGAAGTATTTTAGACATTCTCATTCCATGCATTATCTCCTAACAGATCTTTCATTGTCCTCTTTATCTGTTTCTGGTCTTCTGCACAACTCAGATGGATCTTCGAGTTTGTCACTTCAGTTACATCTAGTCTATTTTTTGCTCACCCATTGAGTTCTTGATTTCAGTGCCTGTAGTTTTCATTTGTATGGCTAAGTACTAAAGTGTGTTTATTCCTTATTTCATACTGTATGCTTATCTTTGTAATTATAGCTACTACCTACTCTGCATTTTGTCTCTAAGTCCTTGAGGGTGTGAATCTGTAGTTTCTGTAATCACTCCCAGTGGCAGGTCTTACATGTTTAGTAACACATAAGCAACGCTATGTGAATCTCTAGGCCTAACTTGGAAAGCTTTCCTCCAAAGATTTGATTCTGCTTCTACTGGTATCCAGGGAGAGTATCCCCCATCCTGGAAGCACAACAGACTGCTGACTCCCCTTCTTTGGGCCCAGACCCCAGACTTAATTCCTCCTGGAGATCAAAGCCCCAGCACCAGCCCCTACTCTGATGAATCCACATGTCATTCTAATTGTTTAGCTTGGGGCTTGGGATGGGGGAGGAAAAGGGAAAAGTCCTGGGGAACGCTTCTACTTTTTGTGAGCAATGCCTCAAAAAGCATGTTGAGATGTGTCATGGAGCTGCATAGCTCAGAGGTCCTGCTTACTTGGTATCAAAATCAGAAACTTACTTTCAATACCTCCATTTTACTTCTTGAAACATTCACCATCTCTATTTTATGAACTGTACTATGGTAATTCCAGTACCTTAAGTCTTCATGGGTTTCATTCTGTAGCGTTCACTCAAATGGACTTTTCCTTAAGCATTTTTTTTTACATTGATTAGATTCTTTTAAAACATGTTTAAAGTGAACAAATCTTAAAGTAACAGCTAATGTATCTTCACAGTATGTACATACCTGTTTAACCCTAACCAGATGAACAGGTAGGATTTTTCCATTTCTCCAATAAACTCCACCAGGCCCTTGTTAAGTCAACAATTCTCCACCGCCAGGCACACTAATTTGGCTTCTATCAAGCAGACTACTCTTGCCTGTTAACCTTCATATAAATGGAATACAGTATGTATACTCTGTGCCAGACTTCTTTCATCTAACATGGTTTTGATACGCGTTCACTTTACTGCATGTAGCAATAATTCCTATTTTGGTTTTTGTTTCACAATGTATTATTCCACTGCATGAATTTACAATTGACTTTCCCATGATGTCCACTTTGAGAAATAAAACAGCTAGGAACACTTGTAGAGACTTTCGTTTCTCTTGGAAACTTACCTCTCCCATCCCCACCAGTAATAATTCTAGATTATAGCGTAGCAATCGTTTTAAAGTTTCTCAAAAACTGCATCTTTCCAGGGTGCCTGGGTGGCTCAGTGCTCAGGTCATGATCTCATGGTTTGAGCCTCACATTGGGCTCTCTGCTGTCAGTACACAGCCTACTTCGGATCCTTTGTCCCCCTCTGACCGTCACTTCCCTGCTTGCACACTCTCAAAAAAGAAAAACAAAAAACATTAAAAAAAAAAAAAAACCCAGCAATATAGCAGTCCCACTTGTTTCTCCATCCTTGGTATTGTTTCTATTTGTCCTTCTATTGTAGTGTTATCTCCTTTGTGGTCCTAATTTGTCTTACTAACCATATTAAACATCTTTACATAGGTTTATATTTTTTTTAAAGTGTTTAGGTTGGTGTGTGTATAACCTGTTAGATGTATTGTAAATACTTTCTTGTAGTCTGGGGTTGCATTTTTACCTTCAATTTTTAAGTCTGAGGAGTTTTAATGGTGTTTTGTGGACTCTAAACCCTGCCTACTCCAAGGTTGCCAAGATAATCCCATTTTTTCAAGGTTTGCAATTTTAATTTTTACCTTTTGACCCATAGCCACCTTTTACATATGGTGAAGTAATGGTTTACTTTTCATACTGATAACCAGTTGCTCTAACACACTTATGGGGGCAGAGGAGGGAGAGACAACAAAATATATACACATGTAACTTAGGAAAATTTAGATCAAATAACCTAAGCCACTAAATCACCTCAGAGTAAGTTCATACAACAGAGATCAATCTTACTGGATAATCTTGAAAGATTCATAAATAGCAATTGAAAATGGCCTACCTTGGAAAGTTTTTTTTATCCTTGATGAAGACTCAAGGAGGAACTGAGGTCCTTTGGAAGTGTGGGGGACTGGGACACAGAAAACAGGAGTTGAGCACTAAATTTCACTGAGCTGGATGTGATGAGATCCTCTGAGTGAGTCTAGGTTTAGAATCCTAGGTCCACTACTAGTTTCAAAATCTGAAGACAGTTATTTTTGTTATCAGTTCCCAGGAGAGAATAAGAGAAAGTAGGTTATTTCTCCTGATAGGCTACTAGAACACTTTGATCTCTGTTTCAACAAGGAATGCCCCTCCTAAATCAGCCTGTCAAATATCTACCGTTTCAGTTTGTTTTCAATACTATTTTCTCCAATCTTTCCAGATCTTTCTAAAAATAAAATACCATAACACTTCCAGAGAACACAGAACATCTCCTCTAATACCCCCTGAACCTAGTACTTGAGTTGCCAAGTTGTTACACAAATGCTTTGGGGGAAAAAAATCCAGTGGTTCCTAGTAGCCTCAAATGTAATCTAAGTTCTATATAGATCAACTTCAAGGACAGTAAACTAAATAGTAGCTCTATTTCTTATCATCCCCCAGTAGGTTTCATTCTGAGCCAATCCCCATAGGTCTTCTCTCTAAATGAGTTTTGTTTTGTTAATCGGCTCAGTGTCATCCCCAATATTACTGAATATTCCAGTGTAACAAACGCAGAACTAAGACTCAGAATAATACCCAAGTCCAAAAAATAGCACACTGTGATTAATTTCCCCTTAAATACCACTTGTCTATTCACCCAACCTCTAGGCTGTTGGAAAACCACATGAAATCACTGTATAAAGAGAGCACTCTATGACCTGAAATTACTGAATTGATACCACATATATTAAGATAGTCAGCTAGTTTCTGCAATGCAAAAAAAAAAAAAAAAAAGAGGAAAATAAAGGAAACCATTTAACTACATTTTGCCTTCTTGCCTGAGTTTATTGGTTGTATGAAGGTCATATCTGAACCTCAAGAAATCACACACTCACAAATTCCTTCCTCTACAACTCCTGATATTCAGTAATAAACACACAATTTAAACTTGGGACACTATTAAACTGTGCTGGTCATAACAACCTCAACTATTATTTTGCCAAGGTCTTCACCTCATTCATTATTTCAGTCTTCAGTGGAAAGCAGGCCAAAAGATTTCAGTTTTATGTTTGAGAAAAGGGATACAACAAATTTGTCCTGATTTCCTCACTTATAAAACATGATGTTTGATAGTTGCTACAATTTGTGAAAACTTAAAACAAATGGACAAAATGTAAAATGGGTAGGTACTATTAACTCATCACTGTGTCACTGTTGCAACTTGTCATATGTGGATTCATTTGGTTATTCTAACAAGTGTCCAGCTCTTTAACTTGTAATATTCTTAGCTTTCTGAAAGGCTGAAACCAAAATTAACAAAAATTCATGTTAAAAAAAAAATCATTACAATTCAAGGAGTTATCAAATAACAGTCTGTCTCCAACTTCTCAGATATTTTGCAAACTGGATATTTTGATACATGAAAAAGTGTGGTACCTAAAGATCAATAAACCTGTGGAACATAAGGCAGAACAGAAATATCTTACTGAACTACAAAGGAAGTAGATTATTTGACCTTTTGTTTCCTCTAGAGATATCACGATGTATAGCAGACAGGGGCCTAACACTTCAGTTGAAAATGGCAATGCACTTTTGTTCTTCACATAATCCTAAGAAAGCGTGATAACATTCTCACCATAATATTAGAATACATTATAGGATAAAAAACCCATATTTTCATAAGGATATTTTAATTTTTTAATTTAACAATTCAAATAAAATGCAGCTAGTTAACATAAATAGAATAAATGCACATAATTTACAGCCATGTACACAAAATGCAAGAATAGCAAACCTTACATAAATGGTCAAAAGATACCAACTCCTCTGAAGTTGATTTAGCTATGACTAATAGATCATAATTTAATTGTTCACATATGAGGGGTACACATTCAAATGTTTTTTAACATAAAAACTGAAACCAGAATTTTGTTTCTAAAAGGGGTATTCTAAAAAGCAGTGTTTAGATTAACAAGAAGTATAGGGCATGATGAGACATGAATGGGCAGAAAGTACATTATATTAAACACCTTCATATAATTAAAATTCCTTCTAATTTAGATCATTCAGAAATACCTTTATTCTTAGGAATGTTAGTCATGATCAGCAGACAGTACTAAAGTCTGGGCGGAAGAGCATGTAAACAACAAAAGATAGGCAGGAACAATGCTAGAAGAGTAAAGGACAGACTGATTTCGAGCACTTAAATCCTTCAAGTTCAAATTGGTATTTTTAGTGATTTCAAATAATCTAAAAAAGCTGACATGTTTATACTCCAGTAAAAGAGTAAACACTCATCATTTTTAACAACCTGGTCCTAATACAATAATGCTACGCCACATTGGGCATTAGGTTTTAGGAGACAAAAGGCTGATTAATCTAACAATATTCTATCCTAGTTTCAAAGTTATATTATTACTTGTGGGCCCCATCTAGGAAGGTTGGTTCCACAAAGTTACATACATAATGAAAATTAAGAAAAAGCTTTGGTGATAGTTTTTTTGTTTTTTTCCTGGATTTAAAAGCATTGTACTGTACCCAGTCACAGGGTTGGTAATTCTCAGATTTGGACTTTGAGATTTAGGAAACGGTCTATGTGCTACAGGTACCAAAGTTGTATCTGGGGCTCTATGAGCGTATCTTTCAGTATCTACTGCTTTAACTTGTTTAAGTTCAATTCAATTTTCTGAGAAGACTGCATAATAAAAGTGCAGACCAGTTTGAAGAGTGCTGCCTATCTCTAAGCTAGAAATAAAAAGTCATCTGATAGAAAATAGATGAAAACAAAACAGTTAAAAAAAATGCAATCCTTTAAGTATGTTTTTTTTTAAACATTTGCATCAACTAAAACAATCTCCAAAGAAATGTTTCAGAGACAAACTTTATACACAACTTTTACATAGTTTTCTTTTTTAAATTATCTCTGTCATACATAAAGTAAACTACAGCAAATTGTGCTTTGGGGAAAAAAATTAAAATAAGCCTCATTGCTCCTTTCCAGTTGTTGCAAAAAGAAACAAAGTCTAAGACTCTAAGATCTTTTCTTCCAGTACATAGAGAACACTCACTTTTTAAAGGCTGAATATAATGCACTAAAGGTCAACACATCAAGTCTCACTTGCTAAATACAAACCGGAATAGAATACATGTTCATCCTTGAAGGACACTTGTATGAATTTGCTACAGCTAAATAATAAGATGTTCCTTAGCTGCTGGTTTTCATGTCATTCTTAATCAGCTGTGATGTACTGAGATCATTACAGTTATGGAGAATCTCTGTCCTACATTCAACACAACTAATGTTTATGCATCTTCACAAGGCAAATGGCACTGTATTAGGCAGTATAAGTGGCACCTGAAAAGGCAAACACTATAGATTGAGACCTTCTCTCCAGATTTAAGTTAGAAACCCTTATTATTGGGTTGGTTGTTTTTTTTTTTTTTTTTGGCATGTTTCTCACAATAAATGTCAAAGCTAAAAGTCACCATAAAGGTATGAATAATCCCAAAGGTAATGAAATGGAAATTGCCTTTGGTCTCCAAAGAGATTGGAATGTTTTTAAATTCCAATCAAAGCACCTCAAAAACATCCAGTTACTGTTGATTATAAGGAGTTAAGAAGGTGAGGAATTTAAGAGGGTACTGTTTCATTGGTGACAGCAGAGTAAGCTTGCAATGACGTGCTACAATTTATGGTTGGGGTACTAGAGCATACATAGAATATGTAAAACATTTATGGTATTAAAGATCTCCAAAACACCGTATCTAAAACCCAGAAAAACATTTTGTTGAACACTGTTTCTGCCTAATACACGACCAATGTTTAAAAAAAAATTCCTAAAGTGGAATTCTCTCTTACTCTTATCCCACCTCCCAAAAAAGGCCACAAAGTGCATTCACGAAGAGTCATTCTTAAGATAAAGCCATTGCACAAAATGTACAGTTCATCTATACTGAAATGAGTACCACGTTGGAGTTTAATTGTAGATGTTTTATACACCAGTATAGCAACATCCATATGCAAAGTCTTTTAACAGAATTACAGCAAACATCTTCATAAAGGCCATACATATAATACATTTAAGTATTAAAAGGTAGAGGTGAACTCAATAGCAAAATGTAAAAGCTATATCCTGTTAGCACACTTAATCTGAATTAACTTGAATCTTTCTATGATTTACCATTCAAGAAATTAGGATAACATACATTTCTTGTCAATAGCAGTTCATTTGTTCATTTACAAAACTGTAAGTCAATTAGGATCACTGCCTGTTCGGTCAGATGGCAGAGGGACCCCTTTCTATGTTTATACTGCCCCAGATATTTATAATGCCACCTTAAAAAAAAAACCTATTATGGCAAAGCTGAAAATTACCATTTTCTCTACAAAATAAATGCAATTTATATTGATCATCTGGAAATAACTCAAAGGTTCAAATTCCTAATGTGAAAGCAAACAGAGAAAAGATTCAGAAGTGGTACTTTTTTTCACTTTAAGAAAGGAACACCAAGGTATGATGGATGATAATTTAAGTTCATAACTAATAAACCACTGAAAAGACAACTGCAGTCATTCACACATCAGAGAGTCAGAAAAGACAGGAGAAAATGCTCAAGTGACTGAAATGGCCAAGAGTCAACATCTTACCGGTTTCTTCTGAACCAAACTATTGCCACTGAATTTGATATGTTAACCAACAATTTAAGTGTCCTTATTACGCTGAACATCAAACTCCTGTTAGTAGTGGAAACCAAATATTTTAAAGCTAAAAATATGCAAGATATTTAGATACTATTTCATTGGCTGTCAAAACTAGTAACGACTAATGCCAAATAATTAACTTTAAAATATTCCAGATCCTCTCAAGGAAATGTGAAAACAATACTAAGGATCTCACTTATTACTGTTATTTTACAATTTTACAGGAATTACACAGAAGCCAGAGGTAAGACATTTATGACTGTCAATACTATCTTTGGATAGTTGTAATATTTATACGATTAGAGATGGCTTTATTAGGAGACTGGAAAAGTGCTCATGGAATAAACACTATATTCTGCCATAAATCAATAAAATCCAACTATGTCCCGGGGACATGGTAGAGAAAATGGCAATTTGGAAAGAAGTAGTGCTTCTAAAGGCTTTTTCTTAGAGGCAGCCTAGGTTTTTTTCACATTACTTAAAAGACCAAGTAATGCGGTTGTAATTACTTTAATTCCTACAACCAAACTTTCCCTTAGGCATAGTTACATGTTCCCAAGCTATTTTCTTCTGTCCACCATGCTGGCTTCGATACTGCATGGTCCACTGTCATCTTTTGGTCTTCCCTCTTCATAGTACAGCAGCCCCAAGTTGCTATCCATTGAGAAGGTAGACCACTAATTCATAGGTGGCCATCATAATGGCTGTGTTCGGAATCTGTCTCACCAGATGAGTTGTTAGACCACGGTAAAGAGACCCATAACCTTCTTCTTGAACAACCAAAGACAGTGTCTGAAAAAAAGATCTGTATTTTGTTCCCTCTTCACGTAGTCTTGTTCTTACGACTTCTGTTTAGGGGGAAAAAAGTCATTTTAAAAAATTAGTGGTATCTTTATACCCTCCTAGTGCTGAGTATATGCCATTTACCAGTCTTTTAAGTGTACATTTAGGATAAGTAAGGAGTGATTTTTAATGTATAACTTACTGAAACTGGTCATATTATAGTAACACCAGACTTTTAAGACAACTGGCTAACATCACTAATAATAAATAGTAATTACAAAACTCCAAAGGTTCCTGAATGGTAAAAGAATAAAACAAAAGTATCAGTTGCATACTAAATATAGATAAAGGGGAGAATTGATGTGGTAAGAAAAAAGTGAAGAAACAGAAAAAGGAATGAAGGTGGTATCAAAGACGAATACACAAGACACAGTGACAAACAGAAAAGATTTTAAGTGGACCCTACAACGAAAAAATAGTGCTACTAATCTATTCACCATGGTCCACAAGTGCCAACATGAAATTTCATGTTCATGAGGCTGGAAATGTTCAAAATACTAGCCAATCAGCTGAAAGGTGCCATCTGGGAAGCAACTAAGCAAAACTCATAAAGTTTTAGAGCTCTAAGAGATCTATGGATCTCTATCTATAGATCTGTCCATGGATAGTTAGTCCATTGTTCTTAGTTTTGAAAGGCGAGGAAACAGGACTGCTGAGAGGTTTTTGTCAGTTGGGGATAGAGGCTGGGATAAGAATTCAGAGCTCTCTACTAAAGACTTTTTCCAACACACTACTCCTGATGGGCCTGAGGGAGATGGCCTAGAGCCATTTTCACTACAAATGTTAGTATCTGAAATCTCTTGTGTCTGCTTCTAAAAATTAATGCCGTTTATATATTCCACTCCAAAATATTGTTTATGAACTACCTCTTCTTGTAATGACATCAGTTTACTTGAAAAGAAGGGGTGCTTACAACTCTAAAATTCTGTCTCTCACCACAGTTCTAGGCATTCCATAGGAGCCAGAGCCTAAGCAATGTTGATACTGTCTTCTTTTGACTTCTCTTAAAGAAAGAAGTTAGGAACTTCCCTCTGGAAACTAAGAGAAGTTCACAGTGCATATTGGTTCGAGGGTTTTACTCATAAATTACATTTTACAAGTAAAATTCTCATTTTACTCAGAGCCCTGATTCAGTTGTCTTCATATAGCTTTAAAACCACAGAGCTTTCGCATCACAAGGATGAATATAAATGCTCATCAGTATAACAAGAGTGAAGCATCTAGCGTAAAATCCCAAAGCAGGGGTGCCAGCTGGTCAGTCAGTGGGGCATACAATTTTTTATCTTGGGGTTGTGAGTTTGAGCCCCATACTGGGTGTAGAGATTACTTTAAAAATAACATCTTAAAAAGGCACCTGGGTGGCTCAGTTGGTTAAACATCCTACTTCAGCTCAGGTCATGATCCCATGGCTCGTGCGCTGAAAGCTCAGAACCTAGAGCCTGCTTCAGATTCTATGTCTCCCTTTCTCTCTGCCCTTCCCTGCTCAAGCTTGGTCTCTCTCTTTCTCTCTCAAAAATAAACAGACAAAAAAAATCCCAAAGCAAAACAAACCCCAAACACAACAAAATCAAAGGCTACATTTAAAACAAAACAATAAAAATTACCCAAAAAACCCTTAGCACGCTGCAGACAAATTCTTAAGTAATTTTGTTTTCTGCTAATGAAATAGGCTAATAAAGTAAAACTTCAGAGAGAAATAAATCATTCATATGTACTTATTTGCCAACATGAAATAATGTAAAATAGGCTGGCCCTTTGAGATTACAGACTCTATTTCAAATTTGAGCTCCTCCACTAAAAAATTATGTGATCTAAATAAGCTGTGTGACTTTGAGCAACTTAATCTTAACATTTCTTATTTCTCATTTGAAAATAAAGACAAATTCTGGTTATGTACTAGCATACTTAGACTTCAATAGAGAAGGTAAGTACTTCGCAGAATTTTTTGTAGATTAGCAATAATGTATATAAAGTATCTAGTATACCACCTATATCCATACTTTTTAATTTAAAGAAACTTGCCCCAAAGTCACCTGGCTGTAATATGATTGGCTCTGGGCTGAAATGTGACTTGCCCAAAGTCCATGCTAAATCACCATGTTACTATAATATATACTGACCTATTAAAACACTTTTAACACAGATTTAATCCCATTATGATGAACTCCCAAGAAACTATATATTGTTTTACTGGAATTCAATATAATTACAAATGTGCTAGTAAGTGGGCTATTGGCTGACATGTGAAAATATTTCTAAATTAATAGACTTTTACTCCCATAAACTCAAACTCCTCTTACCATGTGGATATGCTATAGTTGTGGCACAAGTTTTTGAGGTGGCAGCAGCTAGCATCATTCCCACAAAATCTGATGCTTCTTTTACAGACTCTTCATCATTTTCCATTGTAGAAGCAATCTTATATTCCAGTAGTTTTTGCTTAATACTTTCATAAATAACAAAATGGATAACAGTCTCTGATATGCCAGCATATGAAGCAGACATGCCCCTATAAAATCCTTTAAGTCCATCTGTCTGATACACTTTACGAATACATTCAAAAGCACCCATTCGCTTTTCCCCACGGTTCCTGAAGAGCAAAAATGAAAAATCTTATTAATAAAGTAGTATATAGATTTTTAAATAAAGAAAATATAGTAGAAATCTGCCACTCTAGTACAGAATGATCCTCTCTAATTCATCAAGAAGTGAAACCAAAATTTTAAAACACTCATTTTAGATATCCTATTCATTTGCCCGAAGTCTGTCATAGTAGATATCTGGGGAGCATATAAGTACTTTCTTCTACTAATGCAAAATACACTATATTCAATCTTCAGTTTCAGGTCCTCACTGAAGTTTGTATTGTAGGGATAAGCAACAAAATCCTTTAGTCCAAATACACTGTGACCACAGCTCAAGATAAAAACAGTCACATTACATTAAATCTAGTTCAAATGAGATTTCTTCTGAACTTATTAACATAAAAGAGTGAATGAGACACCAGTGATGACCGTTTATCACAAAGCAAGTACAATTAATCTAGTATGTGAACATCTGAGGGATTCTTTGAAACCCACTCAGTTCTTCCCCCAAAATGTATGAATTAAACACAAATTTCCTATGATTCTTTTAAGGCAACAGCCAGTATCATGGTGCACAGTAAATGAGGACCTTATAGTTTCAAGTAGTTACCGAGGACTGTGTCCAACAAAACTTCCTTAGTGCTACTTAAGGTCACAGCAACTACTCTGACACAAGTATGTAATTTTGAATTTGTAAAAATATTACTTTATACTATGATTCTCCCAATAGAGCCATATTAAATGGGTTTAAATGCTACTCACAGGAAAAGAAATAGAAAATTTACCTATTTATAAATTACATACAACCTGTTTCAGATATAAAATAAAAACACAGTTAGGACACCCACCTGATAACCTACATATAGACTACTCCAGTTTTATGAACTAGTTATTGTTTTGAGCTAATGACTGTTCTCAACTACTAACACTGTATGAATACTTTCTCAGTTGAGTGATCCATGCAACCAACTGTAATCAGTTTCTGCCATCAGAGACTTCCTCACAAGAAGTTAAAATGCTACAAGTCCAAAGGGTAATATGCAAACACACCAGCCCTGTTCTTGATCTCACAGTTATAAATGAGCATCCTCAAACCAGCCTTTCACTATTACCCCAAATTCACTCCATTCCCCACCACCCCCAGGCCCAAGAACTTGTGCTACTTTGTGTTAAAATTAGAAGTGAAAAAAATGATCAAAGGGTTTTAAGCCATACTTTTTTTCAGGACCCCCTTATACTAGAGTATACTCCTGGTAGCTTATAATAGTATAATATAGACTGGCACCTCACATTTCTTTAACCTTTGGATTGTTTTATCTGCCACTACTTTTCAGATCTCTTTGGCTTTAAGAAATAAACTTTGAGTTTTGCTTCACCATTTAGGATTCATTAAAAATTATTCTGGATGAAACAAAAATTAGAGCTATTTCAAGTCTCCAACTAGCTGACAGTCCAACATGATAAAATGTAAAAAACAGATATTTAAGCATGCATAATTATTAATGATTTCTCAAATCAGTTTTATTTAGTCTATGAGATATAACACTACTTCCCCATGCCATAAAATGTAAAAAAAAAAAAAAAAAAAAAAAAGTGGAAATTTGTTATAGTCTACTTTAGAAAGAAAGGCTAAAAAAGTTTCAAAAGTCTTTTTATTAATATTATAATACACCAATAGGATCCTCTCCCTATAAAAGTACTATTTTTCCCATCATCCATACTAAAGGCCAATAGGAACTGAGATGGCAAGATTCAAAACTGCACTGCTTCTGGCCTTTGTTCAGTTCCCAAAACACACCAGAGGCCCTAACCTTAAGACCTATGATGTTTGTACTGACCACTGCCTCTGCTTAAAAATGGGCTCAAAAAAACATTCCCTGCCTATTCCACTTAAAGTAGGCCCCCAATGTTTCTTGGTATATCACTAGAACATAGCAGTATCTGTTCAACACAGATCTCTCAAATGAATGAATTGTGCTACCATACGGCGTGATGTCAGTGGTAACAGATCAAGTCTATGAATATATGAAAGCTAAATGAAGCCATGCCAGGCCTCTCTGTATATAAGGTTACTAAATCATTCATGTAGTGAAAGTACCACTGTTTGGCCTAGATTAATATATATTCTTTTTCTTTTATTTAAAAACACAACACATAGGGGCACCGGGGTGGCTCAGTTAGTTGCGTGTTTGACTCTTGATTTTGGCTGAGGTCATGAGATCAAACTGCGCATCAGGTTCTGAGCTGGGTGTGGAGCTGCTTAAGATTCTCTCCCTCTGCCTCTTTCCTACTCTCATGTGTGCTCTTGGGAAAATAATAAGAAGTAAGGAAATAAGCAAGCAAGCAAATAAATAAATAAAAACACATAACTTTCCTCCCTGGAAAGTCTCATATTGCCAACTATTATATACATCACTTTTGCTTCTGATGGTAGACCCAAGTTTCAAAAACCAAACAAAAAAACAAATTCAGCAGCAAAAGAAGGGAAAAAACATGGTTAGATACATGGCACTGATATTTCACAGGGATAAATTCACAGGAAAAAATTATTTAAAACCAACTTTAATTTTGTTTTGATGAAGTAACATACCTTGCATCAAGCTGTAACCGAGTCTTTATAAGCCAAATGGGGTTGGTCGCTGTGATTGCAGTAAAACCTAAACAAATATGTTTAAAATGAACTCTGGTAAAAATGAAGAACTATTAACTTAAAGGTTTTAAATATTATATAAATCTATATTAAAGAAACTATTAAGTGACATATACTTTACACTTCTATTTTATAAACCCATACAATCATGAACATTTGTAGTTTATTTCCAATCTACATTCTCAAATTCTGACCTTACTTTAAGAGCAAATTCTGATTATATATAAATTCCTCTCCCACTATATTCAGATTATTCTCTAGGGCACCCTCTATACTCAAAGCTAAATATAAAACCTCATGTTTACAGACAAATCTGTAGAAATTTGGTATATCCTAAGGCTTTTTAGCATGCAAACTCTACACAGCTACTTGAGGTCCTTACACAATTCCTATTCTTCAAAGTGGATTCTACCTAAAGGCCAGCATTTACTATATATGATCTTAAGGTGATTATATAACAGGACTGTTGTTTGCCCTTATAAATGCTTTATATAAACATATACTTACTAAAACTGTTAAAATAATGGTATCACAGAAGTAAGGTTTCTGTTAGGGTTAACAGGAAAGATCTATTTTTCATCCACTTAAACATATACAAAAACTCAAAAGTTCAAACAGTTAGGAACTGGAACTTCCCTCTCACTTATAGATATGTAAGAGAGAAACTCAGAGTAGAAGGTAGTTCTAACTTACTTTAAGAGTTAAGTACTATATACTATCAGTGCAGAGCGTGGTCACCTAAGATGGCTCATTCTAGTTAGTAAACTAACATCTCTGGACCAGGGTCTCTAGACTAGTGTGTATCTTTTACTTGCTGTCTTCCTACTGTTACTAAAAAATAGCACATGAAATGTCATCCTGATAACAGGAATTTATGAAGATTGCTTCATCTATATAAAATAGAGTTTTAATATATTTCTTGTGAACACTGAAGACCACTACAGAAACTTCACAGAACTACTCCTATCAAGCTAGATTTATTCAACTGGACTTTAAATTCAGTGAAACTTACAGGCAGAAATGTCTAAGGCCCTAACTGTTTTAATACTTTCTATCAAATACTAGGCAGGTGAAGTACATTGTTTTTAAAAAGGTAAAATATAACCAGCACATTTAATATGAATAAAGTTAATTCAGAAAGAAAAATGCTATGGTGCACGTAAAAATAATTTGGCTTTTAAGTTAACCTATAGTGCACAACCAATCATTATCCTTTCTTGGCTTTTGAAGTTACTATGGATATATCTAAAATGCAAAATAATTTTACTAAATTGTTTACAAAGTAGAATTTAGTGTCATAAGTTCTTTTCCCTTCCATAATGTCAGGTAATTAGCTAACTCAAATTTATTCCCTTAATCCACTGTTTTAACACCATAGAAATAGCCAGATATCTCACAAAGCGATGCTTAAATTGAATCTATTTATAAAACATGATAAGTGGAATAGAAATTTGGTTTGATAACACCTTTCACAATTTTGTAATAGGTCTATAGTCTCCATTTCTCTTTAGTGCTTTTAATACTACATAAATATGTATAAAACTAGTAAGGGAGCAACAATTTTCTATGTGCCAGTATTAAAATAATAAAAATTTAAAGTACTGGACCAGGTGTCAGGAATAATAAAAATAAGAGTTTTTTTTTTTTTAAGAAAGTTTCTTTTCATATATAAATTCTTAGAAAAGGAAAAGAGAATAAAAATATGAAGCTGTTAGATCAGTTTAAATATTTTGGAAAGATTTTTTTTGCATGTTCCAGCTTTAAGGATTCTCATTTTCCTAAGTGAAAAACTCAAACTAAATACATTCAAATTACATTTTAAAGCAAATGTGCACCAGACATCAGTATTCTGGCCATACTTCTAATCTGATAATTCTTTGTTTTTAAACTTAAATATTTACTATTAGCTGAATATCTGTAGAGCAATATTAGGGGTTTATTAGTAAAAGGTCACAAAACTGCATAAGGCAACAAAATATTCTTCAATATTCACAATAGTTTTTATTAATTATCCTGTAGAAATTAAGAAAAAATACTTGCTTTTCACTAACACTGGGAATCCTTATGCCAAACTTAAAAAAAAAAAGGCCTAAGTAAATATCTCATTCAATCTATTATACTTTATTTGTAAAGATGAGCATCAAAGTTTTTTTTTAAATAGAAGTTCTATTTTTAAAGATATAAACTTAGTACCCAAGCTTAATACTCTCCCAACTCACAAAATTCCTCAATTAAAGGCTGAAAAAAGCTCCATATATGTAAACTTTAAAATATTGCAAAAATATTTAAATATTACTAGAAATTAATTTTTAAATATCCATGAATAAAATTTTTAATTATTCTCTGTACACACTAATGAACAATGATAGGACGCAAACAACAGGTATTTCTCACTTAACTAAAATTCATTTCCAGATACAAATTAATCTATAGAACAGGACACATTAAAATTAAGGTAAGTAAGAGACTGCTGTCATTTTATCCCTCATCAGTGCTTACTAGAGCTGTTCTGGCTCAAATCCCCCAATAATAAGCCAGATCTTAATAAAGACACTAGCCTAAATGCTGGCAAACCATTAGACAGAATCTAGGCATAACGTTACTGGTCTTTACCACAGTTACAACTCTAGTCCTGGATTTTGATGCTATTACATTCTCTTAACCACACTTTATTAAACTAACTAGACATTATTAGGCTAATTAAATCTATAAAAACATAGTCTATTAATTCAAGAAATGAAACAAGTGGGAAGAAGCAAAAACTTTTCACCAACTTAGAATTCTACATAGTAGGACAATTTGAAGTTGGCCAACAGCCAAAGCTAAACAGATCTTCCTACTTCTAAGACAAACATACACAAGGATACTGGGAATAGTGTCCCTGAAGTTTAGAAATTTTCTATTACTGTTTATTGTGGCATTTCAATTTTGTGAATTTTTGGTAATATGCTAGTTCATATTAATATTCTGAGTACCTGTTAAACATTAAAACTGACTTAGAGGTATGAAAGATCTATTTGTAGGTTAAAAAGAATTAATATTGCTCCAGTCAGTTAAAGCAAAATGGAAGTGTACTGGCCATACTGTTAGTAGTACAGTTAGAATGTTATTAGAAAAATGTTTAAAACTCTTAAAATGCAACTTTTAAAGTTTTCCTTCATCTAAGACTCCATTTGATAATGGAAACCAGATGAAGAGAAATCCTGCTTATAAGAAACTTGCTGAAAATGTCTATTTCATTAAGTGAGTGATACCTGTAGTATTGCATTTTCTGCACTTTTTATTTTGTCAAGTTCTGTAAGAATTAAGCCCACCTAATCTTCTAAGAAAAATACATTAAAATTACAAAAAAAAAAATCCAATTAAAACTAAAACAACTTAGATCCCACATATTCTTAACCTGTGTTTATTGGAAAGTAATGTAGGTATTAAGATCAATATTTTTGCAAGAAAGTAGAAGGCTAAGTATCAACAGACAAGAGAATAGAAAGCATCGTATTAGACTTTTAAAATATGTTATGCTAAGCAAAGGGAACTACTATTTTTCCTAAAAGTTGTAGGATGGTATTATACCATTTACAACTACATTTATCTTAAATATTGTCATCAAATTCTTTGGAGGTCAAGGCTATTATGGCCAAGCTGAAGACCCCAGGCTTTTATTACACAATGACTGAAAAATTACCCCATTCTTCCTTCTAGAAGGAATAGTATAAAGGGATCAGAATTAAAGTTTTATAAAATACTCAGAACGCACACACAAATTCAGGAAATAAAAGTTCTTCCCGCCTTCTATTAATTCCATAGCTATTATAAATTCCCAGGGTGTGTTTCTTATAACTAGAGGCTGCAAGAGATGCTCAGATCAGTACTCACGAGGTTTAAGTTAGTCCATATTTCTACAGGAAGTGACCTGCGGATGGGGAGCATGAGATGACACGATCTCACTCTTTTCTCGGGAGAAATGTACAGTAAATGCCTAAAATAGACACAGGCTTTTCTGTATCATAACAACAAGCAGTGACCTCATCAGAAACATGTGTACAAAATGAATCCCATTGGAAGGATTTCAGAAATATTTACTGTGAGATCTAACTCTTTTGAAAATTTTAAGTTAAAAAACAAAAAAGAATATCAGAATGGGCCATAAATTTTTTAAAAAAATGCACCGAGTACTGAAAATTCTGCCATCTGCAGCAGTTTCAGAGTCCAAATACTTACCTAAAAGACGAATTTTGTCTTAAAAGAAAAAAATGCTAACCTTGTCAATGGGGAATCTAAAAAAATATTTAGAAGGGATTGTCATATCCCATTTTCTAATCATAGTTATCTACCATGATCAGAAGTGAAATCATGATTTTCTATGCTTTAATAATCAGCTTACTTAGTAAATATATTTTTCTTACTAAGTCTTAAAAAAAAAACCAGAATATTCAAGTAACGCTTTGTAATAATTTATAATTTTTTAAATAAAGTATATGTTGCTACAATAATACCTATAACCTTTGCACTATGGCCAATAATATTGCACATCCATTTTTATGGAATATTTTGGATTATTTTATATTTAAGTTCTTGTGTTCTACAAAACAAAAAAACAGGAAGAATGTTTATATACAAACACACAAAACATCTGTCCAAACATCCATTTGGCTGAATAAACTGCCAAGGACAAATAAAATATTAAAAAATATATTTTATTTAGGAAAGACAAAATTTCTTCTTAATGAGGAAAAAATCTTTAATAATAAACTAGGTCAAATAGAAAGATGTAGCTTGAAAAATAACAGTGAATGCTAAGAGCAAATAAAACCCACAAGGTATGCTGTAAATGTCAACTGATTACATTTCTGGTATTTTAAAAATTAAGTGATAACTACTTAAATATATAATCCAATAAAAATCAGAATTTTCATTTAAATCTGTAATGTTGTATAGAAAAGCATATATATTCCAGATAAAAACTTTTGAAAATTAGGAATTACCATAAAGAAACAATACTCTTATTTGTATGCACACTTGTGTCAGGGGTATACAGAGGGATAAGCAAGTTCATTTAAACAAAAACATACAAATACCCTCAAGCAAACAAATACTCTCAGTCTGACAAAGGGTACACGTTGGGAAGGAAAAAACAAACAGGTAAAACATAAAGACTCAACACTACCTAATTTGATTAAATAGCCTTCCAATTGGAAATAATTTTTTTAATTTATACCTCCAAATTTAAATTTATAAATTCCTATAGTCTTCTCTTGAAACACTAAAACAAATGAGAAGATCCATCTTAAATAAATTGTAATTTTGAGGAAAAAAGGTTTGCTATCTGAACACTTGAGTTCATGTGGATAAAATACAAAATCAACAGGCTATCTGGAATAAAAATTACATATAAGGTCTGCTACTAAATCCTTAATGTGTATCCTGTTTAATGTGGCAAAATCTTGCAGGCAATATCACTACAGTCTATTTTAGTTCACCTTTTGATACTAACATGACAAGGTTAGCATTTTTTTAATAGCCAGTTAAAACACAATTTTTCACATGACTGCCTCTAAGCACTTTGTACCCCCAATTTATATTTAGAAGACTTCTAAAAGTAACTCTGAAGAAAAACCAAAGCAATCTGGTCTAGATTATTTCAAGAATAAAGGGGGCAAAAGGCTCCCTTAATGAGTCTGCATGGGACCATTCAGTTTCACCAACCATGTAGTTATGTATAAAAACTGCAAAGCTAAGTGTTAATGCTCATGAACAGTGCAAGGAAGCTCTGAAAGCACAATTCTCAGAAAAATGTAACTGCAAACAAATGGAAGAAGTATTTTCAAATTACAAAATAAGTATATAGTATAATAATCTCTGAACAACAGGACCATCAATTTACAAAAATTCAAGGAATTCAAGTTGGAGAATTGTATCAATGTATAGATATAAAACTATGAGTTGACATTTGTACACATTTGAGAAAAAAGTACAAAATGACAATTCTACTGAAATTCTTTGCAACATGATACAAAAATAGTAATAAATTCTGATGAGATATCCTAATGAAAAAAGATGTTCCACTGGGAATTAAGGTATTCTGAAACCCTAAATTTACACCACTGAATATATAACAACTATCCTCAAATAAAAATTACCGCTCATCTACTTTCTTGACTTCAAGTCTTCCAAAACAAAAAAAGAAAGATTAACATTTCTTTAACAATTTCCTGAGTTTAAAAAACAAAAACATAAACACTGGTAATCCAGAAATACATTCTTAAAGATCCTAATACAGTGGTCATATAATTTGAAATTAAGCCACTAACTTTTACCTTATACCCACTCAAATTTGTAGAGGTAAAATCATTTCTATTCATATTCAACATCTATTAAAAGTATTATTTAAAAAATTCTAGTTGTAACTAGATGATCTCTATGGTATTAAAAAACTAATTGTCAAAATCCAAGTCTTTGTAGAGCAACCTACATCCAAGGATAAGGTAAGAGAGGTTCATATAAATTGTGTAACTTGCCCAAGATCTTTCCTCCTGGGTAAATAAGAGTAGTTTACTACCTTGACCTCTAAGGTTTTTCCTTCCAGCTTTTAAACTTCAACAAGTCAGTCAACAATTACCAAATAGAAAAAGCCTTGAAAATAATTATAAGGTATATGGTAGATTATTATGGCTATTGACCTTTCAGATATTAGTTATTTCCAACTTACACTTAGTTTGTTAAAGTATGTGGTTCAAATTGATCCAATTTATTTCTAAACAGAAAATGGTTAACAGTTTAAAGCACTCATTATTAAACATGTAATTGACACTCAATTTACTGCTCAACAATTGATGAAAGTAGTCATAATCTGATTAATAAAGTCACAGCATAATTTGGAAACATAAGGTATGGTTAAATATGCAACGAATCTCAGAAAGCTGCAGAGAATGAACCAAACAAAGGTCGTGGCTTTGTCTAACACGCATTGCAACAAATGATTTCAGAACCAGATTGGTCAAATCAATCTCCTAGTTTATCTTTAAGGCAGTGTAGAGGCCCAGAACTAGCTGCTTTTAGAATCATATATATTCAACAATAATGATAGAAGAGTCCCTAGAAAACATATCTATAGCAAGCATATACATATAGCCAATGCCTAAATTTCAAGTGCTATCTAGTGTGATTCATATGGAATGCTAAACATAGTATTCAAAATACATAAATTATGGGAACTCTTAGTTATTAATAATACATCACAAAAACTTCATTTGAGCACAGGACAAAATGAATACTTTACCAAGAACTGCCGGCACATTTCAGACAGAAGCCAAAACATGCAGCAAAAAGGGAAAAGGCACTAACAGAAATTGAGGAGAGAAGAGTAAATTACAGCTCCATAACTTATTTATATGTAATTATGGTTGGATTCTTTAAACTGTTAAAAATGATAACTAAATATTCAGCAGAATACAGAAGACAATGTAAATATTATATCACCTGTATGCTATCACAAACCTAATTTAAAAACGTCAACTGATAACAGATTTTACGTATACCTCCAGATAAAATTTACTATATACTAATAAATATAAGAATTATGTTTGCAGATGCTAATCAATGAAGAGCACATTCACTGTCTTAAATGTACAATGTAAATTCATCATCATTCAGTATTAAGTCTCTAGCCTTCAGAAGATTTTTTGCCTTTTAATATTATATAGTCATACCTGCCATTGCAGCAGAAATCATGTGTACCTGGGTAGAATCCGGATCAAATATACCATTCAACTTTTCCTTGCAGTTTGAATAAGCAGCAAAGTATATTGCTCTAAAATAAAGATTTAAATTTTATCAATAAGCATGTTGCCTAATTCATAAGATTTGAATGACAAGTAAATTAATCTTTATAATTTTAGAGAAATCTAAAAACAAACATAAAGTCTTAGTCACATTCTCATGTAACATCAGGTTAATTTCTATATTTTTTCCACAAAGATCCTGAAGTACTTCTTATAATGACTTATTAAGAAAAAGACAAACTTCTGGGGCACCTGGGTGATTCAGCTGGTTAAGTGTCCAACTCTTGGTTTCGGCTCAGGTCATGATCTCACAGTCTGTGGGTTCGAGCCCCGCATCAGGCTCCGCACCAGTGGTGCAGAGCCTGCTTGGGATACTCTTTGTCCCTCCCCAATTTGCATGTTCTCTCTCAAAATGAATAAAAATAAACTTTAAACAAAGAAAGAAAAAGACAAACTTCGATGTCAAGTTCATCAAATGCAAAGCATCCTCTAACAAAAAGACACCCACCACCCCTGCCCCAATACTTTCATAGCCAACTGAAATAAAAAGTATTTTTAGAAGATTTTGATGCGGGGAACATATAAGGCTGGAAGGCTTTATGTAATGGTAAAGCTTAACTAAACACACTTGAGTGAAGTAAATACGGCTTGAGCACTTAAAAACACTGTTAAATGTGTAATTAATATAATTAGTTTATATTACTATAAACTATTAAGATATAACATATTTTATATATATGATATTTTTTAAGTGAGGGGAGGGTTAAAGAACTGACTCAATTAATAAAAATATATTAAACAAATTTGAGACACGGTGGTATATTCTACTCTACATTATACAGAGTAGTACACAGTCTCCTTAAACAGACAAAATAATTCCAAAAGAAATCACCTCCATCATATGATATCTTCTAATGTTTGTAAACATTTCATTAATCTGTGAACACGTCCCATTAATTTATTGAATATGACTTTAAGCATCCCAACTACTTCCTCATTTTTTTGGTTTCTAGGCTCTGAATTACCTGCTTGCTGCATCAAATATCCTGTTATTTCCCAATAATCCTAATTATCTGTCCACATAATAGGCAAACAAATACAAATAGCCAGAGTCTCACTGTTGTGCCTTTTTTAGTGTGCTGAAGAAAAATGGAAGTTAATATAATTTAAAATGAAACATTCTGAGGTGCCTGGGTGGCTCTGTCGTTTAAGAGTCTGACTCCTGATTTCCGCTCAGGTCATGATCCCAGGGTCATGGGATCGAGCTTGTCTAAGATTCCCTCTCTCCTCCACTCATGCTCTCTCTCAAAAACAAAACAAAAACATTCTACTTTATGAGCAAGAAAAAAAAATATATTTAAAGATGATGAAGTATGAAGAGGTATAAACAATGCATTCCTAGCAATGAATAAGAAAAAAGACCTCTTAATGAGAAGAGAGGCAAAGAATATATACAGGTAATTCATGGAAGAGATACACGTATGGCAAATAGTTACAGGAATGATGGTGTAACTGAACCAAAAATTAAACAAATGTATATTAAAACAGTGAAAATCATGTTTATTCTCTTTGGCAAGTATTAAAAAACATGAATGGGGTGCCTGGGTGGTTCAGTCGGTTAACCGTCTGACTTCGGACTGGGTCATGATCTCATGGTTTGTGAGTTCAAGCCCTGTGTCGGGCTCTATGCTGACAGCTCAGAGCCTGGAACCTGCTTCAGATTCTGTCTTCCTCTCTCTCTGTCCCTTCCCCATTCATGCTCTGTTTCTTTCTGTCTCAGTAATAAATAAACATAAAAAAATTAAAAACAAAAAACAACTCCAAACATGAATAGTAGCCAACATGAGTAATACGTGGATAAAAAGCAACTAATTCACTACTTGAGAATAAAAATATGGGATGCCTTTTTAGAAGGCAATTGAACAATATTCATTGATTTCAAATATGCATGTGTTCTTTTTTACAGAAATTTTACTTTTAAGTAACTATCATGAAGAAATACACTTGCTTAAGTACTCAAAGATAAAAGTGTAGCTATGTTGACAAAACCACTGTTTTCAACAGAAAAAATGTGGAAATCAGATAAATCTAAAGGTTTATCAGTAAGGGAATGCTTATTAATGACAGAGTAGCCATACTATGCAATGAAAAAAAAAACCCTACATATTTTCAATGGGAAAACCTTCAACACAAATTTGGTGAACTATATTAAATATGATTAAATTAATATAGAAGAACACAGACAAAGGGAAGAAATAATAAGATAAAAACAGAGATAGAGGCAAACTATAAGAGACTCTTAAATACAGAGGACAAACAGGGTAGCTAGAGGGGAGGTGTGTGGACGGGATGAGCTAGACGGGAGAAGGGCATTTGTTGGGGTGAGCACTGAGTGTTATATGTAAGTGATGAATCACTCACTGGGTTCTACTCCTGAAATCAATACTACACTGTATGTTAACCAACTTGAATCTAAATAAGTAAATTTATAAAATAAAAAAAATTAATGTAAATAATGTTAGGTATATATATTATACATTTTACATACACAGTAAGTCAGAAAAATTAATGGAAGACTATATACTAAACTGTTTTAATGTTATCTGTAAAGATAAGTGTAAACATCTCCAGGAAGGCATATAGTATGACAGGTGATGTGTTTAAGATGGAATGTCAAGCAAGCTTTATGCCATACATTTTTAAAAATTTCTACAGTAAGGAAAAAATTTTTAAGATAGCTTTTTAAGAGAGTAAAGAGCTCATAAAAAGCTGAAACCCAATAAATAATAAGACATAGACTTAGTACATGGGATACAGACCTAGATTTTCTCCATTTTCATTCTGAATGTGAACTCTATAGGACTGGATCATGGAAGAAGAAAGTCTAAGATGAAAGGATCTCAGAGAAAAATGACTAATGTATTAAGGTCTTTTTGGCTTCTTTAATAGGCAATGAAACCATTCTATTTAGCTTGTCCTAGAATCCAAAAAATAGGGTTAGTTCTACAGTTCTAGGTATTCCTCTTTCTCACTGCTGGTTCCTTTAGTTTGGTCTCTGCCTTTTGAAACTTGGTACAAAACTGCTTTACAATGACCTCCACATGGTGCAAACTGCCCATCCTTTTAGATGGTTACAGAGGTCTGTTCTTTATACCCTAGTGCTTTATCCTTACCTACCACCTTAACTTCTCTTCAGCATCTTCTGTCATTAAGCTTGAAACAAGAAAAGACTGCCACGATTTTGCTTAACTTAAAAAAAATTATTTTTACCTGGAAGGGGCCACCCCCACTAAATTGGGGCCTAATCCTCTGAACAAGGAACGAGGCCCTTCTTTTTCCAATATCACCCTGAAAGAGAAAAATATTATTTAGAAAGGAAATGTCTTTCAAAGTCTAGTACTTTATCTGTATAGCAAACTTAGAGTTTTAAACCTGTATGTTTCTACTATAATGTGCTTTTCTCGTTTTTCTTACTTGTGAACATCTTTTTTTCTTGACACAACATAGACTGATAAATGATAATAAAAAAAAGAACTCCAATCTGATTCTTTCCTAAAACGTTTAAGGACTACAGTATAATTTCTACATTTATTTTCATATGTTCATGCTACTCTTATCTTCAATATCCTCCATTTTATAATCTTTGCCATCAAATTCAATTCCCAATTAGTTCATCCATGAGCTACCTGAGGAAACTAAGGGGTAGTATTTGGGGTCCTTTCTTGGTATAATTCTCAGTACTGCAGAATTATCTCATTCAACCATTCCTGTGAAATACTGTCAAAATCTGTCACCCTAACCTCCTTTAGGCTACTAAAATGGTTAGTCTGTTACCATTTCTCTATTCAGTTAACATTTACTATATTGAATATTTACTATATAAAAACTGAGCAGACTAAGGAGATAAAAAAGAAGGTAAGACACCTGCCACTGAGAAATTTGATAACTAGTTGTGGAAAAAGGAATTATATTGAAACAAATGATTCAATAGACTCTATTAATAAGCAAGTACTATAAAAGATAGATAAACATGCCCAGCAGGGAAAGCATGAAGAAGGCTTTCTGAGGGTGAGTTACTAAGTTTCGAAGGCGAGAAGAAACAGACTGAAAGAGACTAGCTGTTTTTAACTTAGAGTTAATAGGCTAGGGCAGTGGTTCTCAACCACCTATACACTTGAGAATAATTTCTTAAAAGTCAGTTGAGCATAATGGTTCAATAAGGGCCTGAGTTATGGGGCCAGACTTCTTAACATGAAGCCCAATTTTGGTAAATGACTAGTTATAAGAACATACAGTAATGACTTTTATCTTTATTTACAGCAGTAATAAGCAGAGAAAAACACTACTCTTTTTTTGGGTTACTGTGAGGAATAAGTAAATAAATACATAAAGAGCTTAAAAGAGCACCTGGCTTCCAGTAAGTACTTGACAAATCTTAATATTGATTACTGGCAGAGTATTTTTTTAAAACGCAATTTCAGCATGGGTGTTATATGTAAGTGATGAATCACTAAACTCTATTCCTGAAATCATTATTACATTATATGTCAATTAACCTGGATTTAAATTAAAAAAAAAAAAAAAAAACTCTTCCCCCGTCCCCCGACCCCAAACACACAAATTTCTCTGATCTCACTCTCTAAGTATTCTGAATCAATAGGTATTGGATAATGCTCAGCAATTTGCATTTTTACCATGCTTCCAGATGACTGAAACAAGTGATATGGAACCACTTTTGATAAAACTAGACAGAAGCAGAGTTAAAAATAACAAATTACAGAACACGTTTTGAAGATTCAGTACTAGTTAGTCGTCTTTTCTGTATCATAAATCCCTTTGAGAAATTGAGGGAGTTAGTGTTTTTTTAAAGAATACACATTTGCCAACACTCAGAATTTTGCATATAATTTCATGTAACTTAGAGAGCTCCTGAAGTTCATCCATGAGCTACCTAAGGAAACTAAGGGAGCTCAGCAGGGGTTCCCTAAAGTTGCTGGTTAAGAAACCATGAAACACGTCACTCACTAGGATGGTTTTAATAAAAAAGACAGACATAGTAAAACAAAGGTTGGTAAGGTTGTGCAGAAATTGAAAATCTCATTCACTGGTGGTGGGAATGTAAAATGATACAGCCACTCTGAATAACAGTGTGACAGTTCCTCAAAATGTGAAACATAAAGTCATCATATGACTCAGCAATTCCACTCCTAGTATATCCCCGCAAAATGAAAATGCATATCTCTATAATAGCTCTATTCATAATACTCCTAATGTCTATCAACTAATGAGGAGATAAAGAAAATGTGGCATATACCCATAAAATGGAACACTTGGCAATAAAGATACTTGTTATAACATTGATGAACCTTGAAAATATTATGCCAAATGAAAAACCAGTCATAAAAGAATTGTATATAATCCCATTTACATAAAATGTCCAGAAAAAGCAAATCTATAGTGACAGAAAGTAGACAGGAGGTGCTTAGGAATGGAGGATGGGGGAGAGAAACGGGGAAAAATGAGAAGTGACTGCTAACAGATAAGGCTTTCTTTTGCTGCTGCTGCTGAAAATGTTTCAAAATTTAGAAAGTGATAATAGTTGCACAATTATGTCAATATATTAAAAACAACAAATCGTATACTTTACATTGGTGAATTTTATGGTATGTGAATTCTACCTCAAATAAAGATGTTAAGAAAAATTTAAAAAACATGCCATGAATCAGACTGACTGGGACAGAGCCCGGATAGGAAAACAATTGGAATGAGAGTAAAGAGACGTTAAGGCAAAGAATGCAGACTTGGAAGTCACCTTAATACTGAAGATAGGTGAAACATGTTAAATTAGCTCTTATAAGAGGACCTGAGGGGCGCCTGGGTGGCTTAGTCGGTTAAGCGTCCGACTTTCGCTTAGGTCATGATCTCCCGGTTCGTGGGTTCGAGCCCCGCGTCGGGCTCTGTGCTGACTGCCAGCTCAGAGCCTGGAGCCTGTTTCAGTCTGTGACTCCCTGTCTCTCTGACCCTCCCCTGATCATGCTGTCTCTCTCTCTCTCTCTCCTAGAAATAAATAAAAAATATTAAAATAAAAAAATAAGAGGACCTGAAAAACTGAGAAATTAAAACTAAGCAGAGAGGGTCCTCCTACTGCTGAGGAAAATCAGAGAAAGCAAATCATTGAAAAATAGAATAAAAAATATAGTATTGTCACAAAGGTCAAAGGAAGAAGTTTAATAAGAGATAATTAATGGTAATAAAGGGAAAATAATGATATTTAAATAACCTATTAATAGATAAAATATTGTATTTTTAATCAAAATATTATTACTAATCAGGATTGATTATACTCTTATTCATCAGATATTTATAGCATTCATTAATTGGTAACAATTTTACTCTACCTCTACACTTAGTTTAAAAAAATAAAAGACTGATGAAATCTTTTGGTAACTATGGTAAACACACAGTATGAGTTTATTTACTACCACAAAATAAACACTATTGAACTAAGTTCAAACAGATCATGTCCCGAGTGACCTGATATGGCAAATACAAGTTACATACCTAAGTTTGAACATGTAAAACCTAATTTCAGTAGTTTTGAAATTTGAAATCCAATTTGCAACATAATGAAGTATGGTAAAATATAAAAACAAATCTTTTTCAAACCACCAAGAGATGTCAAGCAAACACTGAAATGTCTTTTAAAATCAGTAGATCTCTGCTTTAAATCCCAGTTATCTTTCAGTTATATTAAAACCACAAACTGCCACTAATTGGATGTACTTACTTGTGCCAGTACATCAGTACTTGAAAATTAAAAGCACACACAAAAAGAGTTAGCATTTAACAATATCACATTTCAAAGATAAATAAATAATCTAAACAGAATACCTTTATTATACTGTTAGAAAATAAATCCATTGGATAAACGCAGAAAAATATTCCAAATACACATGATTTGGAAATAATCTTACATTTTATATTATCCAACTACTACTCTTCTCCATTAGGGATAATCATTTCTGATGAATATAATGGAGTAAAAACTATTATTAAGTTTGTAAAAAACCTTTTTAAACATGGCAGAATATAAATGAACAAAACACACAGGCATCACTAAGGTAAACAGACTAAAAAAACAAAACAAAACAAAACAAAACAAAACAAATTCACGAATACTGTGCTCTCACTTTAGGCAATGGAGAGGTCCAGGAGACACTACTCGGTTGACACTGGCTCCAGCCATGGTGTTTAACTGAACTTCAGAGATATAAAGTGTCACAGAAGATGACTGCAGCCGTGTTTTTACAACTTCCAGTGGACATGTCAGAATAGCTCCTACTGTACCACCACATCTAGGAAAAAATGAACAAGTCTACTTAGTATACACATTTAGACTATAAAATAAGTGAGCAACTAGGGGCTTCACCAAGGCACAAAAATGTAAGATTTTTTTTATTTTAGAAGACTAAACAATTTTAATGTTTATTTGTCTGCATACAAACACCCTTAGTAGCTAAAAAGAACAGAGCCAGGTGTGTCTGAGGCTCAGGGAGTTAAGTGTTCAACTTCTGATTTTGGCTCAGGTCAATGATCTTATGGTTTATAAGTTCAAGCCTCTCATGGATTGAGTCCCCACATGGGACTCTGCAATGACAGAATGTAGCCTGCTTGCAATTTTCTTTCTCCCTCTCTTTGCCCTTCTCTTACTCACAAGCATGTGCATGCTCTCTCTCAAAAATAAACTTAAAAAAAAAAAAAAAAAAAAGAAAAAGAAAAAGAACTGAGCTTAGGTTTTACCTAGCAAGAATAACTAAAGAAGACTCCCAATGGTGGGTATTTTTACTAAAATTTACTATCAGTCACATAGTTTGAAATACTGTTCTAAGTGTTTCTTTGGTGCTCCTTGCCCAGATATTACCTGTGGCTTTCTTGAAGCCTAGACCACTGTTTGAGCTATATCCTCTCTCTCAAATTCCTATCCTATCTTTCAAAACTCAAGAAATGGTCTTCAGAGCAATAAAAATTAACCACTCATGGTTAATCATACATTTCCTATTTTAAGTATTCAAATACTCAGAAGTGTTTTACCTACAAAAAAATGACATAGGCAGGCTTAGCTAGAAGAATCCCATTTAAATAAAAAAACTGGATAACCAATAAAATAATGCTCTTAACAAATGACATCATTTAAACTTTTTAAAGCAACTTAAGAGATAGGCTGAATAATTATTCGTTTTAAATGGAAGAGGACATAATTAAAGCATTAATAGAACTGCTTTCTAACCACAGGAAAATCACTGAGGAGTGCTCTTCCCAGTCAAAGGGAAAAGCAGGCCAAATCAGAGGTAACCTGGGCCTCCAAGATGGCCATTAAAGGAAGAAAAAGAAAAGAAGCCCACCAGAGAAATACACTAAACAATTCTACCGCTGGAATTAAAAAAAAAAAAAAATTTATACATATATATGTATATAGATAGATAGATATAACACACATAAAAAACATAATTAAAAAAAAGGAGGCATGGCCACAATATCACTCCAAACAAAATTTAGGACAAATTCTCAAATAAGGTATTTTATATTGATGTAACAGTACATGCCATCAAGAAAATAAAACCAGGGGCACCTGGGTGGCTCAGTTGGTTAATCATCCGACTTCGGCTCAGGTCATGATCTCATGGTTCATGGGTTCAAGCCCCATGTCAGGCTCTGTGCTGACAGTTAGCTCGGAGCCTGGAGCCTACTTCCAGTTCTGTATCTCTCTCTCTGACCCTCCCCTGCTCACGCTCTCTCTCTCTCTCCCTCTCTCGCTCTCTCAGAAATAAATAAAACATTTAAAAATTAAAAAAAAAAATTTATGAGATAAAGTGAAAAGTACAACTTAAAAAGAGAACATCCATATGTAAAATAAAACTTGACTCTTACCTCGTACTATATTTAAAATATTAACTCGGAATGAATCATAGACCTAGATGTAAAGCTTCTGTAAAGCTTCTAGAAGAAAACATTTGGAGAAAAATCTTTTTCACTTTGGGCTAGGTATATTTCTTAGATAACAACCAAAAAAAGCATGAATCATAAAAGAAAAAAATTGATAAACTGGACTTGACCAAAATTAAAAACTTCCACACTTTGAAAGAAATTGTTAAGAAAATGAACAGCCAAGGGATGCCTGGTTGGCTCCGTCAGTTAAACATCTGACTCTTGATTTTGACTCAAGTCATGTCTCACGGTTTGTGAGTTCATGGGTTTGAGTTTGAGCCCTGAGTTGGGCTCTGTGCTGGCAGGGCAGATGGTTACCTGACTGAGCTATCCAGGCTTCCCACAGCACCTGTACTCTTAATAGCCCCAAACTGGAAACAACCAAAATGTCTATCAACTCATGAAGGATAAACAAGTTATGGTATATCAGTATAATGAATTATTACTATCCTGCAATAAAAAGCACCGACCTGGATCAACCTCAAAAGCATTATGCTAACTTTAAAAAGTCAGGGACAAAAAGGCTTTTATTTTATGACATTTCTTTTTTATAACTTTTTGAAAAAGGCAAAACTAGAAGAACAGAAATAGATTAGTGATTACCAAGAGGTAGTAGAGTGGGGAGGAACTGACTGCAAAGGGCACAGAAGAACTCTTTGGATAAAAGAAATGTTCTATAGCTTGATTATAGTAGTAGTTACAGTACCTTATATAATTGCTAAAACTCACTGAATTATACAATTAACAAAGGGTGAGTTGTATTATATGTACCTTGGTAAATCGGATGAAAAAACTGAGTATGTGAAAACTAGTAAAAAAATGTTAATGAACTATTATATGAAAAATGTTAATAGTTATATGAACTACCTGAAATTGAATATAATTACATTATGTTAAAATCTTAATCACAATGAACTTAATGTTTCCTAAAAATTCCACTTATAGCTTTAAATAGGAAATTAAAAAAATTAAACTCCAAAAAAGAAAAGATCAAAACCATAATTATATTGTCAGAAATCAACATATCAACTAGATAAATAATAGGGCTGTAAGAGATCTGAAACAAAATTAACTAGCTCAAGGAAGACTCTATTCTCAATAAACAAGGAACAGATATTATTTTTAAAAAGCTAGAAATAGGCTTAAAACCTCATTACAGTTGACTCTTAAAATACCATGTGGGTTAGGGGCATCAATTCCCCCCACCTCATGCAGTCAAATATCCACACATAACTTTTGACTCCCCAAAAACTTAACTACTAAATAACCTACTGTTGACTGGAAGCCTAAATAGCATAAAGTTGGTTAATACATATTTTGTATACGTGTCATATACTGTATTCTTACAATAAAACTAAAGAAAATGTTATTAAGAAAATCATAAGAAAAATACATTTGCAGTACTGTACTGTATTCATCCCCCCAAAAATCTGCTTGTAAGTGGACCCTATGCAGTTCATATCCATGTTGGTCAAAGGTCAACTTTATATAAAAGACCAGAAGCAAAATCTTAAACAGAAGCCACAAGTTTGGTTCTGTTCACTGTTGAGGGCTAAGTGGCAAGAAATGTGAATTATCACAGTACAGGCTGTAGTATATGTTGCAGAACTGAAAACAGCCTATGTGGTAAAAACACATTGTATTCACACTACAATAGTGGTTTACTTACAGCAAATTATAGCTGTTTTTAATGTGAAGTTACCTGGCTTTTTTAACTACTTAGTATATTTACTTTGTGTATTTATTGAACATAAAAACCAAATAGGCCCAAAATTTTAATAACCATGCCTATTTGTTTTGGTTTTATATTCTGTAAAATATTAAAAAAATGTATTGTTGGGTTTCCCAATGAACATGAATTACTTCTATAACTAAAATAAATAAATATAGTTGCACCTAGCTGGCTCAGTCGGTGGAGCGTGCTACTCTTGATCTTGAGGCTATGGGTTCAAGCCCCACATTGAGTGTAAAGATGACTTCGAAATAGAATATTAAAAAATTAAAATAAATAAATAAAAACAAAAAGCCAAGGTAGCACATAGGCCACGATTCCTGCCCTACTCCCAGTTCCAAGAAAATAAACCTATTATACAAAGAAAACAACCTACTGGGGGAAAACAGTCTTCTTGTAAAGATGATACATGATATAACCCATGTATAGTATTTTATGACATAGCACATAGAAAATACTTAAAAATTATTACCTTCTGAAGTTATCATCATCTATTACCAATAGCAATACCTAATATACTATAACTATTACAACTACTTTAAGGCCATACCACAGACAAGATATATATATTATGATTCCTAAAAACATAATTCAACAAGTAATGAGGATCTAAATTGTACACAGGTGGGGGGTGATGTAAGTAGGTGTTCAAACAAGCACTTAGGCTGTTCTGAAGCAGTTTTATGGTACAAAATGCAGTAAGTATGCAAGCACAGGGGTGACACTCCAGTATCTCTCATGCTGCTTTTATTTTAAAGTCATTTAAAATTATTATGCAAGTTGAAATCATTAAAACTGATGCAGAGAAAAAAAGTACTGGAGTCAATAAATATTTAAAATCTCTACTTTAAGAAAACAGGGATTAACTACAGACTATTTCTAGTCCATGTCAAATATCTCAACTGTGTAAAGAAACATACCACATGGACAGAGAACCATTAAAGAAATGAACAAAAAGCACATGTACCCCAATGTTCATAGCAGCACTCTCAACAATAGCTAAAACATGGAAAGAGCCTAAGTGTCCATCAAGGGACAAATGGATCAAGAAGATGTGATTTATCTATACCATGGAATACTACATGGCAATGAGAAACAATGAAATGTGGCCATGTGTAGCAACATGGATGGACCTTGAGGGTGTTAGGCTAAGCGAAATAAGTCAGGCAGAGAAGGACAAATATCATATGTTTGCATGTATAGGAGGATTAGGAGGAACTTAACTGAGGAACAAGGGGGAGAAGAAGGGGGGAAATGGTGGGGGAAAGGGAGAGAGGCAAACCATGAGAGACTCTTGAATGCGGACAAAAACTGAGGACTGATGGATGTGGGGGGGAGGGAGGATGGGCACTGAGGAGGGCACTTGTGGGGATGAGCACTGGGTGTTATGTGGAAAACTAATTTGACAATAAACTATTTGTAAAAACAAAAAAAAAAGAAATGAACAAAATGTAAGATTTCAAGCAATGAAGCAAAAAGGAAGGGGTAACTGACTTAACAAAGAGAAAAAAAGGCTTGCAGGCGGAAACACTAAAGGAAAGCAACAAGGAAAGCAACGGTTTTGCCCTGCAGAATCTGAAACACCTAAAGATTAAGGGCATGAGTAGTCAAGATGGAGTAAAGCAAAGAACTGGAAAT